TCGTATGACCGGATGCTAGTCCAGGCCCCCCTTAACCGAAAAACAAAAAGAAATTCATGAAAACAGGAAGTGTGTGAAATAAAAACAAAACCTGTGAATGAAACTTCCCAAGATTCAATTGGGAACTGCAAGTCTCCAGTGCAACATGGAAAATTTATATTTGGTTGAAATACATTTGAAGACTTTCGACTGTTCTGAACTGTACGGGGTTTTGGGGGGGGGCTGGAGGGGAGGGAGTTTCAAAAGGCAATAAACAAGAGCAAGGGGTAAGAATAAGAAAGAGGGATAAGGAGAAAGAAGAGCTGTTGCTGAATCCATTGTTATCAACAATGATAATTTCTTAAGGAATCAGAAACCCTAGTTTGAATTTCTGTTTTGAATTTACACTAAGTCAACCCTTGCCTATAACCTGCCCAAATATTCAGACTTCTCCATTGGGTTTAATCTTCCCATTAGATCATGGCTGATCGCGGGTGGGGTGAGGTGGGGTGAGGTGGGGTAGATAAGCCTCCTCCCTTGTTTCTACCTCCCACCTGCAGGTTCCCAAGACACCTTGGGAAACTTCCTTTCCCCCTTTGGGAAATACTTTTATTTACTTATTCATTTTAACTTTGGTTAATAGAAGCAGGCTAAGTTCAGCATCAACAAATAACCTTAGTTGCGGGGGGAAGAAGTTGTGGATGTTCAAAAACGGAAACAAAAACGGACTGGATTCATCCTCGCCCATGAACTGGGAAAGAATACAAACGCAAACTTTGTATGTGTGAGGAAAGGTGGGATCATTCATTGCTATCCTAATAGGTAATACAATTGACCCCCAGCACAGCCCCCCCCCCCGGTTATATTCAGAACAATGATCATCAGGGGTCCCAGAACAGTGTTAGTTAGCTTTGTTTATTAAAGGCAGCGAGGATGGTAGGGAAAGAATTCAATGGGCCAATTTCCACCGACCACATTATGGCCTTGGATGCTGCTCTCCTTTTGACTTTTAAAAGCAACTTTTTAAGAGGATGATGTTGGGGGGGGGGAAGGTGTGCTGGAGACCCCCCCTTCATTGGATCCTGGCAATCCTGCTACGTTTTCAGATATGGGGAAGAAGGCAACCAAACGGCATTGATCAGCGTTTTATCATACCCCCAAACAAGAGGAAATAATTTCACTTCTTCAGATTTTGTGAAAAGTAGGGGAAAAGGGGAATTATACTTTGTTTAAAACACAAGGCCTGGAGGGGAGCGATTGCATTCTGAGAACTGTGCCTCGTGTCCCTATGCACTAAAATAAGGAAGGTTTACTTCAGCTCCTTCATAGGACTCAAAGGATTTACATTACAAATGTATTTTTAATCACACTTAGATGTTTATTATACAAGTCAATTTCAATGCAGGGAAAGAGGGAAGAGTTCACAAAATTCAAAGCACAAATGTGTTTTCAGCTATGTAATTATTATTTTTTTCAAGGGCAAACTCCTAACCCCCTGATTTTTTCAGAATAATAAGCAGCCCAAATTTTTTTTTTTTTAAGAAGGCAATAATTCTAATTATCAACAGGCAATTCCTGGGAAAAACTCTTTCCTCAAAAAGTTTGAGAGCAAAAGGATCTGTGTCAGATTTTACACGTGAGCACAAGAGAAAAGTGGATTCCAAATATGTTGTGGGAAATAGCTGATTCACTCTCAAAAGAAAAATCATAGCTTCTGTTCCTAATCTAGAACCAATAAAAACAACATACTAAAGTGTGCTTTCTCTTCAATTTTTTTTAAAAAATATATTATAAAATTAGATGCAATTATGTACAGTTTAAACCTTCGGCCAGAACATATAACAAAGGCTGTTCTTAAGAATGGCATGCCATT